AACAATTTCACTTAGTTAGCCATGGAAACCGCCGTTGCTCTCTCATTCAATCGCCTTTGCTCTCAGAAATGTGAAGCTGTGTCATCCAAACTTTGTAAATTAAAATAAAAAAAATTGTAACTATGAGTTTTTCAAATGAAGAAAAGCGTGTAGATACTCGCGCATCAATAGAGTGATTCCAAGATGACTTTCATTATGACCTCCCCCATAATGAAAGAAATGTTAAAAATTATTTATATCATAATAATGCAAACTCAGGGATAGAAAGAGGTGGACCAATTGCATGGGCCTCCTCGATCACCTGACCTATCCATTTTAGATTTTTTATGCGGTATGGTTAACATTAAGGTTTACAACAGAACTTGAAAGAAGTGGCAGTACGAGAGAAGTTTAGTTAAGTCGACCGGTCTTTCTGTGAGAATAGGTAGTAATTCAGTTTTAAAAAGATGCAACTCAAAACAATGACGGATTTTTTGAACATTTTCTAAAATAACTTAAAGTGTATGTAGTGATATTATTTTTTTAAGTTTTAGTTTGTATAATGTAAATTGTAAAAAACCGTTTATTCTGACTTTTTATAAGTTATAAATCATAACAGAATAAGAATACCATACCAAAATTAGAATACCATCTAAGTGAAATCTAAGTGATCTAATACAATCCAAGTAAAATTAGTCAAGAAAGATAAGAATTGGCTATAACTAAATTTAAATTTCCTAACATGTCTTGAAAACCGTTCTCTAAAAAACGTAACATTCACCGGTCAACGTATTCTCGAAAATGTACATATTGTCAAGAAAAGTTGAACCAATAATCCTACACGCTTTTCATTTATTTGAAAAATTCATATTTACAATTTTTGTTTATTTTAATTTACAAAATTTGGATGTGACAGTTTCACATTGATGAGAGCAAAGGCTATTAAACTTGTTTCCATGGCTAACTAAGTGAAATTGTTTAAAAATGATAAGAATTGGCTATAACTCAGTAATTTTTCGAAGAAAACATATTATAGCTTATATCGCTGAAAAGCTTAAAAAATGGCGCTTTTTATGAAGTCATGGCCAACTATGGTTTCTATTTAAAAAAAACATATATTTGTGTCATATGTCGAAAATGGCAGGCTTTAGAAAAAAACGGAGGAAACAATCTTATTAAGGATGTGATTATATACAACTTTTATCGGAAAACTTTTTGTCTAAAATAGCTTATAATGGAATTAGGGACAATTTTTAAAATAGCCGAAATTTGTTTTTTTCGAAATATCTAGTAAGTCATGAACTTTTTCGAAAATCTGAAAGGCGCATATTTATGACTCCACAAAACTGCAATTCTTTCCCCATTTAACCGACTCTCTATCTCCAGTAGTTTCCGAGATACCCATAGAGAACATCGTAGGAAATTCACCCTGTATAACGCAACGCGCGTCCTTAATTCCTTACATGCACCGTAAAAAAAATTAAATAACTGCTCAGCAATTAGCATTTATTAGCAGTACTAATTTAAGAAATCTATAACTGTAAGTAGATATATTTAATTTACTTTTCTTTATATCCTTCGGAAACCCGGGGTACAACAATTAAACTCTATGATAAAAAATAACTAAGAGTCTATACAAAACACAAATTGTCCCACCATTTTTAAAAAACATTGTCTAAAACAGAATCCATTGCCAAAAAATCTGAAGGAATTTAATTTTACAATAATTCCACAAATCAAAACGAAATCAAACCGTAAAATCGAGTGTCAGTTAAAAATCAAATTTTATTGTCAGATAGACATTTGCATTGTTGATATTGACAGTTTTAATATTTTGCGCCTCTGCATCTTGGAGGAAAAACTATTTTTAATGAACTGTCATTTTTGAACTGTCAAGTTTCCCAGCCATGGCTTCAATCTACTGAGCTGGTCATTAAGGTGACAGTGTCCTCTGTTAAAAAACCCGTGACGATCCAATGAAAATTATTCTTACTTAAATGAAGGAAAATTTTTGACATATAATTATTTTTCTTCTTTTCAATCAGAACAACTGGTCTCTCTTATCTTCCTCATTTCGAAACATTTATATGAAGCAGATTACCAGTGTAACAGGGCAGTGCAAATCCGAATAAACAACCATAATCGTGTCGCGCTGTCTGTTATCATTTGTTGAGACAAACCGCGAGCGATCACCAATAAAAAACCGCGGATAAAAATTGGACCAATGAGCGCTTTAACGTCAATTAGCAACGCAACTAATTATCGCTGCCGATTCAGATAAACAACGAGCCTATTTTCTTTGTGCCTCCATGCGGATGTTGTTGTTGTTCGGAATCGCTTCAAACAAATCGAAAAATAAAAATCGATCGAGAGCGATCTATCGAGCGGCTAGATTAATAAAATAAATTGAAATCGTTGTTGACACGTTCTGTTTCCGATATACTAATTATTAATTAGCGTGTAGCTTATTTTATTATGTTAATTACGCCGATAGTGTACGTTTATCAAGTTGGTTCATTAAAATTATCGAATTTGTTAAGACGCGCACCCATAACGTGTTTAAAATCGTTTTAATTGAGCCGTCTGAATGAATTCTTTGTTCGAAATTGGAAACTAATCGCTGTTCTAAGAAATTTCAATCAATTAGAGTTTAAATGTTGTTATCAATGGTCTGGATAGACCTAGTTATGCTCGAAACTGAAGTCAATTCACTAATTAATAATTTACTTAATACTGCACTAATGTCATTATCAGTGGTTTCAATTATACTGTACACTTAAAAATTTTCGATTATTTACAATGTCTATATAATATAAAATACAGTTAAAATGGCACGAAAAACGGGCACCTTAAAATTTTCATTTATTTTAAAGCTTTATATATTGTGTTCTAGAGAACCAATTTTGATAATTTTTTAAACATTTTGTAGCTAAATTATTTGACTTTTTACTATATCTTTCTAAATTAAAAATGAAAGTTGCCATCTGTCAATTATACGAGGGAAAACAAAATGTTGATATTTTGCTTAGAGTTTGAAACACCATGTGGAGTATACGTTAACAAAGCAAGGAATTTAAAAATAATTTTATCATCTAGGTGTATCTTTTTTCGATAGTTTGTTTTTTGATTCATCTCAATATATTTTTTTGGAGATATGTATTCACTTTTGAAGACATGTTTACTAACATTTTTTCGTATTTTTTATATTAAAACCATGCCTTTGCTTTTGGTCCTACTCAAAAAACCTATAAAATACTGTTTATGATTTATGTAATATTACTATCTTCGAAAAATCATATTATTATTGTCTGTTAGGCAGCTACTCTAGCTGATATGGTTTTAACTGCAAAAGCTGATCTCTACCACCATCAATTAAAGCAGCAATAGGCGATATTTCAGAACTTAAAACATCTCTACTAGAATAAACGTCAATAAACAATAATAATATGACTTTTCAATGACAGTGACATTACAAAAACAATAAACACTATTTTATAAGTGTGTTGATGAAGACCCAAAATCAATGCTAAAACTTGTTCTGTAAATCGTTACTGTCTGATTCAAAAGCGAATATCTCCAATAAAAATAAAGCTATTGAGATGAATCAAAAAGCAAACTATCGAGGAAAGACGTACCTATGTAGATGATAAAATGATTTTTAGATTCCTTGCTTTGTTAATATATTCCACAGAATGTTTCAAACTTTCACTAAAATATCAACATTTTGTTTTCCCTCGTATAATTGACAGATGGAAATTTGCCTTTTTAATTTAGAAAGAGATACTAAAAAGTCAAATAAAACTACTACGTATTGCTTAAAAATCATCAAAATATATTTAGTGAAAAAAGTTGATAGTTTGTTAACTTTTTCCTACTAACTGAAAATTATTACCACTAAATTTCTGTGAACTACCAAAAAAGTTCTGAATTACGTCGAAATTAGAGGAACAAACTTCAACGTTACTTGAAACCCCTATTATCTCTATATCTATTTCACTTAATTTCATAGATTAAAAACCAATTTAAAGTCAAACTTTAACGTTACTTCAGCCATCGAATCAAATATAAATCTCAAGAAATTTACATAAAATACTACTATTATTATCTGAAACTGATTTAAAACCTTATCTCCTAAAAGTATATTATTTTATTGAGGACCACCATATTAGAAACTCAAATTAATACGTCTAATTAGTAAATTACATCATAAAAATCATTCCAAAGGTAATATATACATTTTTATTGGCTGTGTGGTCTATCTAAGATAATTTAGATAGCTATAAATGAAATTTTCGTTTAAATCTACTTAAAATTCTTTCAAAACTCTTAAATTAAGAGCGTAAATCTATAGTACGATTACTGAATAAAAAAAATCTAAAAGATTTAATGCTATTGTTGTTTACGGGTGACAGAGCTAAATATAAAATAAAATACCGAGGCTATAAAAAATTTAGTTAATGAAGGAGAGTCGACAAGTAAATTTATTGTAATTATGGTTTAATGAGCTTAAAAATTAACGTAAAAGAGTATTAAAAGTCCTGATATGGCCAGGACTCGAGATTCTTATCTCAAAATTATATTTTTTACGTGTAGGGAAGGAGGAAGTTTTTTATTTGGAGCTTTGGAATAATTTTCAAAAAATGTTAAATAAAAATATGATATTAAATATATATAATTATTTATATGAACGAAATATCAAAAATTTATTTATAAAAGTGATTTCTTCAACCTTTAATCTGGAGGTTGGCAAAATGATTGTTATTTTTTTTCTTAATTGGCTGAGCCAAAGTGGATCAGTAATATATCATTGCTCTTTGATGTCTTCTTAATTGACGTCTTCAAGACAAAACATCTCTGAAAAAAAAATAAAACAATTATTATTTTAAGTGTCTTATATTAATATATTATATATATACTACTTATCCAAAAAAAACTTAGTAGGATTTAGTACTAGATATTTAAGTGAATTTTGTGTTGTGAATGTTGAGACCATATTTCTAAACTAGTCTTTTTGTTTTCAGTTAAAAAACAAGTCCATAGATTTTCTGGTACGTACAATTTTATATTTATTATTTTTGTATAGTTGAAGTAGTTTTCTCGATTTTTAACATAGATTTTTTGGCTGAGATCAAATCCTACTAGGTTTTTTTGTAGATAGGTGTATTTAAGTTAATGTTAAGTTAATATTTAGGTATACGGAAATTGGAACAATTTCCGTTGCACGTCATCAATGACACCATGCGTCGTCTTATGGAATTTGCTGGTGGTCGTATTATGATGTGCAACGAAAGTTATTTTAATTTCCCTATATTTGAATTATTATATTATTATTATATAAGAGGTATTATACAGGATAAGATTTTCTGTCTTTTTTTATGTGTTAGGTAACTGTCAAAATACTACTACTGCTGTCATTACTCGCTGACGAGTATTCGATACGCATCAGAAGATGGTTACGCAAAGTGTTTTCTTGTGACTGAAACTCCTTTTTGGTGCTCAAATCATGATTTTAGAAAACCCTGTCTTTTAATTTCCAGAATGCTCTTAAGGCTCTGCAAATCCTGTGCTGGATTTCAGAGTCGATATTGGCCTTTTCCGAAATCAAACTGCCGAGCTAATTGAATTCCGCTGCATATTCCAATAGTTCTTCGCCGATGTTTATAGCATTGTTATGATTTTCCGGGAGAGTGCACATCATTTTAGTTTTATCGATGTTCGTTTTTGCAACTGTCGAAATATTATGTAATTGACAGGCTTTACTCTAATCGAAATCGACTATGAAACTATGATCCCTTTCCCGACACAAACGGTACATTGTGAGACAGGAAATTGTAGAGAGAAATAATCCCTATAACATATGATAGAACATTTTAATGAACAGTGCTTTCCATAAAATCAATAAAATGAAAAATAAAGGAAATAATATACATGTAGATATTGATTTCTTTCGAAAATCGTCAACTATGAAACTATGAATCCTTCCCGGACACAAACGGTACATTGTGAAACAGGAAATTCTAGAGAGAAACAAGTCCTATAACATAGGATACAACATTTTAATGAACAGTGCTTTCCATAAAATCAATAAAATGAAAAATAAAGGAAATAATATACATGTAGATATTGATTTCTTTCGAAAATCGTCAACTATGAAACTATGAATCCTTCCCGGACACAAACGGTACATTGTGAAACAGGAAAATCTAGAGAGAAACAAGTCCTATAACATAGGATACAACATTTTAATGAACAGTGCTTTCCATAAAATCAATAAAATGAAAAATATACTAAATAATATACATGTACTGATTTCTTTCGAAAATCGACAACTATGAAACTATGATCCCTTCCCCGACACAAGCGGTACATTGTGAGACAGGAAATTGTAGAGAGAAACAAGCCCTATAACATAGGATACAACATTTTAATGAACAGTGCTTTCCACAAAATCAATAAAATGAAAAATATACGAAATAATATACATGTACTGATTTCTTTCGAAAATCGACAACTATGAAACTATGATCCCTCTCCCGACACAAACGGTACATTGTGAGACAGGAAATTGTAGAGAGAAACAAGCCCTATAACATAGGATACAACATTTTAATGAACAGTGCTTTCCATAAAATCAATAAAATGAAAAATATACGAAATAATATACATGTACTGATTTCTTTCGAAAATCGACAACTATGAAACTATGATCCCTTCCCCGACACAAGCGGTACATTGTGAGACAGGAAATTGTAGAGAGAAACAAGCCCTCTAACATAGGATACAACATTTTAATGAACAGTGCTTTCCATAAAATCAATAAAATGAAAAATATACGAAATAATATACATGTACTGATTTCTTTCGAAAATCGACAACTATGAAACTATGATCCCTTCCCCGACACAAGCGGTACATTGTGAGACAGGAAATTCTAGAGAGAAACAAGCCCTATAACATAGGATACAACATTTTAATGAACAGCGCTTTCCACAAAATCAATAAAATGAAAAATATACGAAATAATATACATATACTGATTTCTTTCGAAAATCGACAACTATGAAACTATGATCCCTTTCCCGACACAAACGGTACATTGTGAGACAGGAAATTGTAGAGAGACACAAGCCCTATAACATAGGATACAACATTTTAATGAACAGTGCTTTCCATAAAATCAATAAAATGAAAAATATACGAAATAATATACATGTACTGATTTCTTTCGAAAATCGACAACTATGAAACTATGATCCCTTTCCCGACACAAACGGTACATTGTGAGACAGGAAATTGTAGAGAGAAACAAGCCCTATAACATAGGATACAACATTTTAATGAACAGTGCTTTCCATAAAATCAATAAAATGAAAAAATATACGAAATAATATACATGTACTGATTTCTTTCGAAAATCGACAACTATGAAACTATGATCCCTTCCCCGACACAAGCGATACATTGTGAGACAGGAAATTGTAGAGAGAAACAAGCCCTATAACATAGGATACAACATTTTAATGAACAGTGCTTTCCACAAAATCAATAAAATGAAAAATATACGAAATAATATACATGTACTGATTTCTTTCGAAAATCGACAACTATGAAACTATGATCCCTTTCCCGACACAAACGGTACATTGTGAGACAGGAAATTGTAGAGAGAAACAAGCCCTATAACATAGGATACAACATTTTAATGAACAGTGCTTTCCATAAAATCAATAAAATGAAAAATATACGAAATAATATACATGTACTGATTTCTTTCGAAAATCGACAACTATGAAACTATGATCCCTTTCCCGACACAAACGGTACATTGTGAGACAGGAAATTGTAGAGAGAAACAAGCCCTATAACATAGGATACAACATTTTAATGAACAGTGCTTTCCATAAAATCAATAAAATGAAAAATATACGAAATAATATACATGTACTGATTTCTTTCGAAAATCGACAACTATGAAACTATGATCCCTTCCCCGACACAAGCGGTACATTGTGAGACAGGAAATTGTAGAGAGAAACAAGCCCTCTAACATAGGATACAACATTTTAATGAACAGTGCTTTCCATAAAATCAATAAAATGAAAAATATACGAAATAATATACATGTACTGATTTCTTTCGAAAATCGACAACTATGAAACTATGATCCCTTCCCCGACACAAGCGGTACATTGTGAGACAGGAAATTGTAGAGAGAAACAAGCCCTATAACATAGGATACAACATTTTAATGAACAGTGCTTTCCACAAAATCAATAAAATGAAAAATATACGAAATAATATACATGTACTGATTTCTTTCGAAAATCGACAACTATGAAACTATGATCCCTTCCCCGACACAAGCGGTACATTGTGAGACAGGAAATTCTAGAGAGAAACAAGCCCTATAACATAGGATACAACATTTTAATGAACAGTGCTTTCCATAAAATCAATAAAATGAAAAATATACGAAATAATATACATGTACTGATTTCTTTCGAAAATCGACAACTATGAAACTATGATCCCTTTCCCGACACAAACGGTACATTGTGAGACAGGAAATTGTAGAGAGAAACAAGCCCTATAACATAGGATACAACATTTTAATGAACAGTGCTTTCCATAAAATCAATAAAATGAAAAATATACGAAATAATATACATGTACTGATTTCTTTCGAAAATCGACAACTATGAAACTATGATCCCTTTCCCGACACAAACGGTACATTGTGAGACAGGAAATTGTAGAGAGAAACAAGCCCTATAACATAGGATACAACATTTTAATGAACAGTGCTTTCCATAAAATCAATAAAATGAAAAATATACGAAATAATATACATGTACTGATTTCTTTCGAAAATCGACAACTATGAAACTATGATCCCTTCCCCGACACAAGCGGTACATTGTGAGACAGGAAATTGTAGAGAGAAACAAGCCCTCTAACATAGGATACAACATTTTAATGAACAGTGCTTTCCATAAAATCAATAAAATGAAAAATATACGAAATAATATACATGTACTGATTTCTTTCGAAAATCGACAACTATGAAACTATGATCCCTTCCCCGACACAAGCGGTACATTGTGAGACAGGAAATTCTAGAGAGAAACAAGCCCTATAACATAGGATACAACATTTTAATGAACAGCGCTTTCCACAAAATCAATAAAATGAAAAATATACGAAATAATATACATATACTGATTTCTTTCGAAAATCGACAACTATGAAACTATGATCCCTTTCCCGACACAAACGGTACATTGTGAGACAGGAAATTGTAGAGAGACACAAGCCCTATAACATAGGATACAACATTTTAATGAACAGTGCTTTCCATAAAATCAATAAAATGAAAAATATACGAAATAATATACATGTACTGATTTCTTTCGAAAATCGACAACTATGAAACTATGATCCCTTTCCCGACACAAACGGTACATTGTGAGACAGGAAATTGTAGAGAGAAACAAGCCCTATAACATAGGATACAACATTTTAATGAACAGTGCTTTCCACAAAATCAATAAAATGAAAAATATACGAAATAATATACATGTACTGATTTCTTTCGAAAATCGACAACTATGAAACTATGATCCCTTTCCCGACACAAACGGTACATTGTGAGACAGGAAATTGTAGAGAGAGAAACAAGCCCTATAACATAGGATACAACATTTTAATGAACAGTGCTTTCCACAAAATCAATAAAATGAAAAAATATACGAAATAATATACATGTACTGATTTCTTTCGAAAATCGACAACTATGAAACTATGATCCCTTTCCCGACACAAACGGTACATTGTGAGACAGGAAATTGTAGAGAGACACAAGCCCTATAACATAGGATACAACATTTTAATGAACAGTGCTTTCCACAAAATCAATAAAATGAAAAATATACGAAATAATATACATGTACTGATTTCTTTCGAAAATCGACAACTATGAAACTATGATCCCTTTCCCGACACAAGCGATACATTGTGAGACAGGAAATTGTAGAGAGAAACAAGCCCT